TGAGGAGGACATTGATGTGCAACATCACCGCCATATTGTTGAAGGCATGACAGATTATGAGCTACGTCGCCGTACTTGGTGTGTTCTTCGTCGCATTTTAAGTCTTAATTTTAAGATTGCTTTTCATTTGATTTCTCTTATAACTTTTTTATCTTCTTTATCTCTTATCGTCTGTTTTTCTACTAGCCTTGCTCTTCGCCAATTAACCAAGTGTTATCAGTATCAAGATTCCGTTCATCGCTTTTCTGCTTCTCCTCCTGCTGTTGATGCGATTAGTATGGCTGTGTTTCCAGGAGAGTGTTTTGGCCTACTTGGTGTTAATGGTGCTGGAAAGACGACTTTACTTCGTATGATTACCGGTGACCTTGATCCGACTCAGGGACAAATATATGTAAATGGATTCCAGCTTGCCAGCCAGTTGAGAGAGGTAAGCTGTTGATATACATCAGCAGCATTAACTTTCTTATATGCTAGTTAATGTGGGATCTAAATCGATCTTAGCCTACTATAATTCTTGTAAAATACTCAAATATTTTCTAACCCTATTCATTCTATATGGAAATTTCGTTTGCCTTTTTCTCAATTTCGTGTTGTGGCGTTAATTGTAGTCAACCGTCTACTTATAGATTTGTAGCCTGTCCTTGATATTTATCAAAGGTGAATGAAGAAAGTTTCGATTAAAGCATCCTTTCCTTGACTCAAAACCAAACTGCCTACAGGTAAGACCAATAAAAGTAAGCCTTAAATTCGAACAACATTTCTTCGAAAACCGAAAGGTTAATTTCGGCATGTGTATGGGGGGATAAACAACTTGTTTGCGAACTTGCACTTTGCTGTGCTTTTATGATTCAATAAGTGCCCCACTCTGGATGAAGCACGGCTAGACAAAATTCAATGGCATCAAGGCCTATTCATCTCATTGTGGTCAAACTCATCATCGGTCCTTAATTCACCCTAAGCGACCTAGGTTGGCCAAGTTCCCACTCTTTTCATGCTATCATCACTATGTGGGTTACTCGTCACAGTCAATTTGGCTTATTTCTTTATCCGTCACTCATCTATACTATATATATATATCGCTAAAAATGAAACGAGATTTACACCTTTACATTTATTACCATAATGGTTACTTTGTTCCTCTTCAGGCACAACAATCTATGGGCTATTGCCCCCAGTTCGATGCACTGCTGGATTACCTCACGGGTAGGGAGACACTTCAGCTATTTGGTCGGTTGCGCGGAATGAAAGAGCCACTTCTTGTTGAAGAAATCAATTATCTTTTGCGAGCGCTCCACCTTTCTTCTCATGCGAATACTCTTGTACGGCATTATAGCGGTGGTAAGCGGCGTCGCCTAAGTGCTGCAGTAGCCCTGGTCGGTGGAACGCCTTTGATCTGTCTCGATGAACCAACTACAGGTGTGGATCCGGTGTCACGCCGCCGTATGTGGAACCTTTTCCAGCACTGTTGCCGATTGGGACGCACTATATTGCTTACATCACATAGGTATACTGAGCTTGTATGCTTATCCTAGTAAAATACGAGCAGAATCTGCAACACTTCAAATTGATAATTTTTCTGTTCCACCCAAAGTCAGAACAGTCCTGGATTTTCTTAGCAATTATAATTTCTTTATAGCATGACAAAAAAATAAAATAGTATATTTTACTATAATTGACTGCATCTACGTGCAAACCTTGCTTCATGCCACTCGAGAGAAAATTTGATTTAATAATACCTAGCTTACCATAAAATTTCCTTTTCAAAGTATTTAGCTGGAGAG